ACCATTTGCAGGAAAGTTTACAGGGGTTAAGGGGCTCTCTACATGGCAACAGCTGTCACAATTCCCTTCCTTCAATAGCTTCCAAGATAACCATAGCAACCTGAATCCCCTCCCCTCAGGGTGGCCTGTAGAAGAGGGGGGAGGACAAACCCCAGGAGACTTGGCTCCCTCTTCAGGGGACTTCATCTAGTGTTGTCATGGAATTAAACATCCTGGTGCAGAAGTCATTCGGGCTCTTTATCAAAGACGTATTATGCCTACGCAGTTCTTATCTCTATACCTAACAATATAGATCTGTAATATGTGGTATTATTATCTTATGTGTGTGGAGTTGCCTTAAACTGATGTATCTCTGGATATAAACAGAGCAGCTTACTTTGGATTTCTAATGTACAAGAAAAAGCAATGGAGAAAACATTTCAAACACAGAAAGGGACTCTTAAAATTTTGTGGAAAAGCAGAATTAAAATCCAAGTTTATTGTGCAAAAAGCATCTAAATCCATGCATTGTTTTCCTGCAATACACATTTTCCACAAACTTTTCAAAGACTCGCTGCTTATACTCCAAATCTAACCTGTATGTCTTCCGGCTTGCTTTTCTCTCTTGCTTAGCTGTTTTCAGATGTGCTCTGCCAAGCTTTCTGAATTTTCGTGAATCCCCTCAAGGTCTGTTGAGGGTGGGTGAAGGGGGCGGGAGAATGCCAATGAAAAACTAATGAGCCAGCAATTATGAAAGTGAATAAATCTGCAAAGACAGATGAAAATCAAATGAAGAAAATGTTCTGCATACCATATAAAGGAATTATTTTAGGTTTCTTAGCTCGATGCTCACCACAAGGCTGATTTTTTTTTTTCTTAAGGAAAAAACATATTACTCTATGGATCATGGTTTCTGGCAATCAAATTAGATCAGTACTGGAAATCTCAATCCCCTTCAATAGGAATCGGGCTGATTTGTACTTATCTGTGCCTTCAGATAAAAAGCCTTTTTCAGCTAAACTCTTACTCTATCACCTTTCAAATCATCCATTACCCCAGCTAACAGAGAAGTGATGAGATTATATATATATATACATATATATATATATTTAAATTAAAAATGAGATCATGTAAGAGAAGCTTTCAGGATTTCCATAGGGGAGTCAATGCATAAATAATGGTATGAAAAAGTAAATCTCAAAGAAACATAGTATCTAGTCAAGATAGCAGTATTTATTTCATAACGATCACTTTTAGCATAAGAGTAAAGAATCTTAGAGACCAGCTGTCCTTCCTTCCATCTCAGCAAGCTGTAGGGAATCTACAGGCCATCAAGCTTTCCTGAAGAGCATGACAACAACCTGTCCATCCGAGCACTGCTACGCGGGTAGGTGCTTTCCCACCTGCCAGCGTTTGTGTGTGCAAGTGTTGTGAGCTTACTTTCCATGCTATGTAATAGGTCTCATCAGCCGACTGGCGTATCAGCACATTTTATCATGCTACTTCTGCCACTTACTTGCAAAATACATGTTCATGGGTGATCCTGTCTTCCATGATTTCAGAAAGCAACTTACATACTTCTGATTTCCATCTTACTGTCTTCAGGAGTGGCCAAGGCAGGCTAATTTCTCATTAAATCTGTTTCCCCTTTTGCTTGAACTCACAACTCTCTCTCTATAAAATGTCATATATGTGTATACATATTATATCCATGTACATATATAGTGTCCATATTTATATGCATATATATATATATATTATATATGTATATCTATATATTCTAGTTTCATTGTGAAGGTATTAAGACTTAAACCATCTGTTTATGGTGTTAAAAGATGAGGCCTTTGAGAAGCTTCTTGCAAATGATGAGATAGGACCCAATCGTTGAATTCTCCTTTCTGAAGAGAAATGCAAATGTGGAGAAGGAAAAAATAAAAGTGATTTTCCTATTCTTACACAGTCACTCAAAATACTTCTAACACTAGATGTGTGAATTTCTTCCTTTTTTTTTTTTTAATTTACTATAAAGTACTTGTGGTTGCTGGTTGAAGAAGGAGAGAAGAAAGAGAAAGACAGAGCTAGAGAAAAAAGTGAGAAAGCACCCTCCAAGGGAATGGCCATGCCACAAGCCCTTCATCATTCTCCTCTTGAGATTTTGGGCACGCATGCCTATGCTCCAGGCATGTGTTTCAAGGTGCTGGATCTGGGACCAGAACCATGCAATAGTCCTTGTGAGATACAGTTGATTTGATCACTATGCCAGCAGCTGGACCCACATATGTGAATTTCTTCCCCCACATAAAGCAGTTCTTCAGTGAACACCAATTGGATATCCTGAGATTTAATTCAATTATGACACTATCTACTGAGAGTTAGTGTCAGATCCCATGGGTTGAGGGCTCAGGGCTTGGTCCCACCAAGTGTCCCCCATTTCAGATGTCAGTCACAATTAGGCAGTTGATAGCTATACTTCTGGGTCAGCTATAACTCAAAGTTCCCATGACTGCTCTTCAGATTTGACTAATACGCCATACCGTGTTACTCAGGGAAATACTTTACTGCTTATCCGTTTGTTATAAAGGATATTACAAAAGGTACAGATAAACAGCCAGGTGGGAGAGATACACAGGGCAGGGTGTAGGAGAAGGGACTGTTCCAGTCCATTCTGTTGCTAGTAACAGAAATTACCTGAGTTTGGGTAATTTATAATACTAGCAGTTTATTCAGCAAGTGGTTTAGAGCTCTAAGATCCAGGGGTCACACCTGGTGTGGATTTTCTTGATGGGTCTCACGGGTGTCACCTGATAGGAAAGCAGGAGTGTGCCTGTCTGTGTCCGAGCATCTTTGTCTATCTCATTCTACTCTCCGTTCTCCTTATAAACCCACCAGGACTTAGCCATGGAGGCCCTACTCGCTCTCTAATCACTTTCCAAACACCCCATCTTTCAACACTATAAATGGATTGAGTCTTTTCCTAACATCGTCACAATACGACAAAATGTTAATACATGAATTTTGGGGAGGTACTCAAACTACGGCAAGGGCTCCCTTACCCTCTCTGGGCACCTCCACATACTCAGCTATGTAGAAGCTGAACACTGCTTTTTTGAGTTTTGTTTTGTTTTTGTTTTTGTTTTGTTTTTGTTTTTTTTTTTTTAGAGGTTTTTGCTATAGGGCTGTGTGCTCACCAGACAGAGTCAGAGAAACAGAAAGCGAGAAATCACCCTTGGGGTGGGGGGGGATGACCATGCCGCAATCCCTTCTCCATTCTCCTCTTGGGATCTTGAGCATGCATGCACACGCGGCCAGCGTGAGGTTTTGTTTTGTTTTGTTTTGTTTTGAGAGGTTTTTTCCGCTATAGGGTGCGTGCGCTCACCAGGCAGAGAGACAGAAAGTGAGAAATCAACCCCCAGGGGGGACAGCCACACCACAATCCCTTGTCCTCCATTCTCCTCTCAGGATCTTGGGCACACACGCACACACGCCCGGCGTGAGTTTAAGCCACCGGGTCCAGGACTCGAACCACGGTCAACTACGTGAGAGTCCAGCGACATAGCCATTAAGCTAACTGCTGCCTTCCCCCCTCCCGCCCCCATGTGAGTTTTAAGCCACCGGGTCCAGGACTCGAACCGTGGTCAACTACGTGAGAGTTCAGCAACATAGCCATTACGCTAACTGCTGCCTTCCCCCCTCCCTCCCGCGTGAGTTTTAAGCCACCGGGTCCGTGACCTGAACCACAGTCAACTACATGGGAGTCCAGCAACATAGTCATTATGCTAACTGCTGGTCCCTGCCCTTTGAGATTCTTACAAAGGCTTAGTTATGTAGCCATGACTGGTCAAACCATTGGCCATTGGTGATCCACTCAACCTTTAGCCCTTTTCTCCTCCTGGATGGTTGGGGGATGGAGTTGAAAGTCCTAACCCTCTAATCATGTCTTGGTCTTCCTGGTAACCAGCCCCCATCCCTCTAGGGGCCACCAGTCACCAACTATCTCATTAGCAAACAAAAGACACTTTTATCATTCTGGGTGTTCTAAGTCTTTTAGGAACCATGTGCTCCTAAATAGGACCAAGACCAAATATAAGTTTTCACAGTATCACAGCAAGTGACATGCATGTCTCTAGGCAGACCATGTGTAGTTCTTTGTGACCTTCCTCTCCTGCAGCCTGAGACAAACGAGCTCCTGCTTACACAAGTGAGGCCACCAGTCAGAGGGTTTCAATGACTACCTGGTCAGAAGTATCTGTTTGGAACTTAAAAGGAGCCAAAACAAAACAAAACAAAACAAAACAAAAATGCCTGCATGTCAAGACACTGAAATTTGAGAGTGCATCTCTCAAAGCGGATTACTATAACCAAGAACCCATCTCAATTCTTGAGCTCCAGACTCACATTTCTAAATATCTACCTGGAATCTCTTTAGCTATATAGAGTATGACATACTCAGAATTGAAACAATTACCAATATCTCGGTCTCCAGACAGAGCCTTCTCATTTTGCAGACACCATCTACTCTATTCACAACCTAGGAATTTGGCTTACCTTTCATATCAATGCTTCTGCAACTTGGGCATACAGAAATCTTCCCTCAAACTTATTTTAACACACATTTTTACCCCTCCCTTCCCTCTCCCAGCCAGTGATTCAGGTTCAGGAAATCTAGGATGGGGCTTGATGCTGTCAGGTGATGTTGGCTCAGGGATCACACTTTAAGTAACCCTGCTAATACTAATACCACCATTACCTTCTAACTCACCACCAAGGGCTAAGCAGTCTGCCTCTGGTTTCTCTCTAAAGTCTATGCTCTTTGATTTTTTTGATTGGCCTATTTTTAGCTTCTAGTATCTCTCATATTAACAGATGCTTTGACTTCACAAATGGCCTATCATCCCTAAAGACATTATTCACACAACTGTAGACTGTAAAAACCATCCAACCAACAAACCAAAGCATTATGTAGCTGAAGTTTTCCCACTTCAAAGTATTTAATATAGTAATTTTAAAACTTCTTCCTTCTTTTATTTATTTATTTTCTCTTAAACAGCAGAACCTTTCTTCAATAGCATTTTGTGGGTAAATGAAGTTAGTATCTGGGTGAAATCTCAGCAGAGATTGGTATCCTGGTATTCATTCCCCTTCTCATCTCACCCACAAGGTGGTTGTTGGTGAATCTCCAGGTAAATTCGGAGGCTTCTAAGAACAAAGTTTGAAAATAGGTTATTCAGATGGAATCCAAACATTTATTTATTTTTTTTAAGATACAAATCTGAGAGCATAATACTGAAGACTAAGACTTCACAATCTAGCTCCAGTTTAGGTCCAGTTTCATGCCCGAGCTCTCCCTTTTGTTCTCCAGATATGGGTGCTACATGAAGCCTCCCTGGATGTTCCTGGAGCCTAAACTGGTTCGCACGTTCCTTTAGGATGCCCCTCACACTGCTGAGCCTTGCACAACTTTTGACCAAAAAAGTAAAGCTTTCTCAAAATGGAGCCCATTCCTTTCCCACCACCCTGATATAGAAATACTTATTTTCTTCTCTTAATTTCCATGTCCACTTGAATTTTCTATCTCCATTGTTCTAAGTTTGAGCTATGATGGAATGCTGGGAAAACAGAGGCTATGTCTTTGCATTCTTTCGTGTATTATAATTTTTGAATATAGACAGTTGCGTATAGAATACAGGGACATATGTCTTCAATAGATGCGTCTTGTGCTCTGCAGCAGAATATGATAGTTTCCAATCATGATTATGCTCATAAATCTTGTAGAGGATAATTTAAAATCATTACAAGACATAATTTCCTATTAAAATAAAGAAATTAACTACCATGCAATATTCATGCATAATTTGTCTGTGCCTTTTATTTATAATAAATAATAAACGCATAAAAGGATGAATTAGTTGTTTTGATCATTTAAGAGGAACTCTTTCTCATTGCAAATCAACATCTTCAAAGGGAATTCAATTGCAATTTACTTTAGTCATCACACGTGAAATATCATCGTCACCACGGTCTTAATGAATATGACACCGGAGCAAACACTCCCATTCTATAGCTACTGGGGTGCAATAAATGGAGTTCTTTTGCCAGAAAGGGTCACATACATATTTAATTCTCTATCAATCTTATTGGACATCAGTGATTTCTCTAGGACCAGCCCTAGCAGCAAATGATTGATGAATTAAGAAATACCATGTGCTGGAAGAAATATATTTTAAAATTTAGATCAGAAAAACATGCCCTACTTTAATGCACGAATTTTTAGTGTGTTGCCATTATATATTAGCAAGAAAAGGTAAATGGCACAGACTCGACAAGTTTTTTTCTAAGGAAGCTTAAAGTTAATTCAAAACAGGAGAAGCCTCTTCCCCAATATACATAAAATTACCACCATCCCCAATGTTCTCACTCTCACGTGGATTCTTAATTTCCAAAAGCGTCAGTGGTACATCGCATATTTCTAGGAAGCCATAGGCCCTCAAACTTGGAAGACCCACTCTGTTCAGTATTTACTGTGATCAAAAACATGATGCATTTGTGTTTCTCTGACTTGCTGTAATTATGGATTTTTTTTAATGTCCTTCATATCACATGAAATGTATCAGTTTGAATACATGTCACAACCTGCACCGTTTCCTTCAGGCTTCCAAACATGTGGGACCATTTATGCTGCTCCCAGCACAGCATTTTACACATGAATAGTGTTTACGGGGTTTGGTAAAGTTTTGTCTCTTTAAATTTTGAGTCAGTTGCCAGTACCAAGCTGGTGCATGCTAAGTAATAACTTTCCATCAACTGATCCAACGGCATTCTTTCTCCCTTTTGAAAATCATGGCTGATTAAGAGTCTAATGCAACAGCTGTTAGTGATCATGTGATTGATATGTTTTTAAAGACAGATGTTGAGCATTAAAAGCAGAGCCCTTTGGAGTTCTCTGTAGTCTGTGAATACATCTGAATGGCTACAGTTTCTTTTCCACCTCACTTTTTATTACTTTTCTTTTCTTGCCTTGTCTTGTTCATTTTCTCTTTAGTAGTGAGCAAAAGATAGTCTTAATGAAACAGGCTATTTAGAAATAGAAACGACACCCAATATTCTATCCTTCAAAGCAAGTGCTGAAAGAAAGTCCATTGTTGAAGCTGACGAGTTTTGTAAATCCTTATTTAAGAAAGCATAAAACTATCCTTAGGCTCTTACTGAAGAATGCAAATACGATACAACAGTACTCTGTAGAGCTGGGGAGTTTCCAGATGGCCTCAATTGCCCTCAAGTAGCATGCATGTTAATAAGACACCATATTTCTGAGATTGGACAGGGACACAGTGATAAAAAGTGATGCTTTTCCAGGATGGCCCGCATGGGGGATTCCCGTTCACAGCTGGAGACCTCCCTGAGTATGAAGGGCATGTGTGTGACCATAATTAGGGGCTGGCTGAGGCTGGGGATGGATCAAAGCACCTTAACCCTATCGGAGAGGTTTCTCTCTTTCTTTCTCTCAGAAGAAATAGACACATTTTAAAAAAAGGAATCATTTTTTCTAATAACTCCAATTTGAATTATTAATGTAAATTTCATTGTTAATGTTTTCTTCACATGTTCTTTTACAAATTAGCTTTCACATTAGAGAACTTTTCAGAGGATCTAACAAATCCATTACATTTAGCTCTTCTTGAATGCTGTAAACCATTGCATTCTGCTACCTTTTCTATATTTCTCCTTTCTTAACTTTGATCCAGTGGATTCTATCCTGAAGTTCTTGTGCCTGAATTTATGACAACGGGGTGATTTCTATTATGATGCTACCTCAGGAAGTGATTCATCTGGCAGTATCTACTAGGAGGAACAAAGTGTACTGTGAAAAAGAGAAACAATATTACTTATGGAGAATCAAAACGGTTCAGAACTGCAAAAAGCTTTGGAACTCACTTCGGAGAGTATTTAAAAACTTGGTGTTAAATGTGAAGGCTTAGGAGTGAAAGGTGATTAATCAGCATAAGCCACAGGGCCCTCTCTCTGCAGGATTCTAGCACAGTCTGCACATTACCACTGCGGTTGGAACCATTCAGATATTTCAGTTTGGGTGGTCCTGCAAGGATCCAGTGCACTTCTACTGGTGACCCAGCAAAGTGGAAAAGCGATTAGCTAAGCCAGATGAAATCACCATCAAAGCTGCAAGGCGTGGCCTCGTGATAAATACTATGCATTTATAGAGCGCTCTTCACCCTCCAATTATCTGAGGGGGAAGCCACGATATTATTCCTGCTTTGTATATAGAGTGAAACAGTGATTTATCAAAGGGACTGAATAGCGTTTAAGTTTTCTGTGAGTAAAAACATATTAGTGAATTATCAATTTAGCCCAGCCCTTGAAAAACAATTTCTCAAAAGCAAAGCAAGGATGTGTGTTTTCAGCCCAAGAAACAAAATGAGCACAGTTTGCTCTTTCCTCATCAGCATTCAGGAGAGGTGTGTAATCCGCATGGATTGCACGTCTCTATGCATGTCATTACTATCATCCTAAGCATCAAAATCGGTGTTCTTCCAGTCTGCATGAATTCAGAGCTGCTTTCAAAAATTTCCACAACCTTTTTATGTTCATTGGTTTTTGTCATGACACGTACAAGATTTGGTCTGGAGCTACTAGCTTATGGTTGCTCTCACAGCGTGAGCAGCAGTAGGAGTTAGTGACACTGTCCTTACCAATGGATGTCAATGGAGTAGGGCATTGTGCCAGGCACATGATCGAAGAATAAGCTCAAGATGGCATCCGGATAGAGCTCAGTCTGTGCAAGAACCTGTTTCCAACCTCATCAACAAGTATGCTTTATTTATTTTTTTTTGGAGAGGTTTTTTGTTTTTGTTTTGCCATAGGGCGCGTGCACTCCCCAGACAGACAGAGAGAAACAGAGAGACAGAAAACAAGAAATCACCCCCCCAGGGGGAATGGCCATGCTGCAATCCCTTCTCCTCCATTCTCCTCTTGGGATCTTGGGCACGCACACACACGTGCCTGGCGTGAGTTTTAAGCCACCAGGTCCGGGACTCGATCAACTACATGGGAGTCCAGCAACATAGCCATTACGCTAACTGCTGGTCCCAAGTATGCTTTATTTTTAGCACAGGTTATTAATTTTTTTGAGAGGTTTTTTGCTATAGGGCGTGTGCGCTCGCCAAGACAGACAGAGACAGAGAGACAGAAAGCGAGAAATCACCCCCCAGGGGGGATGGCCACACTGCAATCCCTTCTCCTTCGTTCTCCTCTTGGGATCTTGGGCACGCACACACACGTGCCTGGCGTGAGTTTTAAGCCACCAGGTCCGGGACTCGATCAACTACATGGGAGTCCAGCAACATAGCCATTACACTAACTGCTGGTCCCAGCACAGGTCATTAATTGACATTAATATCATGGCACTTTCTATGAGACTGTGGCCCCCTGAAGCATGTGAGCTGAGAAATCAAATGCGTAAAAATATTTATATTTAAAAACTATGATAAAGAGCACAACGTTCGGTTTTCTTAAACTTTTAAATGAGCTTTATTTAAACTCAGTCCTGGGCTGGTCCTCTGCCCAGGAGGTGAGTGCTATGCATAGAGAACAGTTTCTCCATGGCCAAACAGCTCAAATCCTGGTCCTGGAGGCTTGAAAACTGTGCTAGGCACGTGTGTGTGTGCATGCCCCAAATCCTGAGGGGATGTAAAGATGGAGGAAAGTGACTGCGGTATGACCCTGCCCCGATGGAGGTTGTTCTCTCGCTCGCTCTCTTTTTCATCTCTCTCTCTCTATGGAAGGCATTTATGCCTTCTGCAGTAAAAAAATAAATAAATAAAAATAAAAACAAAAAACTAATCCTAAACTGCAACATCTTGACCACAGATAATCTGCTACCTTATTGTTGCTATTCAAACAAAGACTCTTGATTTTAGTCAAGGAAGCTTCCTAAGTGCCTAACCCATGTATTATATCTGGTAAAATGTTTTAAAGTTCATTTATTTTGCTTATGATTGACCGCATGTATGAGAGAGAGAGGAGAATAGCATTTTGTAAAGCTGAGGTTCTCTTTTACCAGTTCTCCAACTCCTCAAGATCTTGGGTGCACGCACATACCCAGTTTGTTTTCAAGCTGACCCAGGAATCCAAACCCACAGTCAGCCATGTGACTTCCAGCACTGCAGTTCAGTTTTTGTAAC